AGGCACCCTTAAACACACTCTTACCATAGCATCCAGCAACCATGCTCCTTGGTATGTACCAAAAGGAGCTGAAAACATGTCCTCACGAAAACCTGCACATGGATATTTACAGCACCTTTACTCATAACTGCCAAAACCTGGAAGTAACCAAGGAGTCCTTCAGTGGGTAAATGGATAAACTAGTATATACGGACAATGGAATATTATTCAGAGCTAAAAAGAAATGAGCTCTCAAGCAATGATGAAAAGACATGGAAGAAACTTAAATGCATTACTGCTAAGTGAAAGAAGCCAACCTGAAAAGGCAGCATACTGCAGTCTGACTCCAACTATAGGACATTCCAGAAAAGGCAACACTATGGAGACAGGAAAAAGATTAGTCGTTGCCAGGGGTTAGGAACGAGGATTGGATAAACACAGGATTTTTTTTTTTAAAGACTTTATTTATTTATTTGACAGAGAGAGTGAGAGAGCACAAGCAGAGGGAACAGTAGAGGGAGAGGGAGAAGCAGGCTCCCCGCTGAGCAGGGAGTCCGATGTGGGGCTTGATCCCAGGACCCTGGGATCATGACCTGAGCCGAAGGCAGACACTTAACCATCTGAGCCACCCAGGTGCTCCTAAACACAGGATTTTTAGAGCAGTGAAACAATTGTGTGTGATACTGTAATGGTGAATACATGTCGTTTTACATTTGTTAAAACTCACAGAATGTATAACACCAAGAATGAACCCTAATGTAAACTATGGACTTTGAGTGTTAATGAGGTGCTGAGGTAGGTTCATTGACTGTAACAAATGTACCACTCTGGTTCAGGATGTTGATAATGAGGGAAGAGGAGGGTGGGTGGGACAAGGAATACATGGGAAATCTTTGTACTTTTTACTCCAAACTGCTCTGAAAAATAAAGTTTATTAGTATGAAAAATAGAATCACCATTTTTTAAAAAGATTTTTACTTATTTGACAGAGAGAGAGTGTGTGCAAATAAGCAGGGGGTGCAGGCAGAGGGAGAAGCAGGCTCCCCACTGAGCAAGCAGCCTGACGTGGGGCTCGATCCCAAGACCCTGGGATCATAACCTAAGCCGAAGGCAGACACTTAACTGACTGAGCCACCCTGGTGCCCCTAAAATCACCATTTAATTCAGAAAACAGGATGCCCTGAAAGTTACCAAACACCTGGGAAAATATTTGGTTCCTCAATATAGCCTGGAATAGTGGTTAGCTTATGCATTAATATGAAGAATAACAGCACATAATAGACTTTATGTTCAAAATCCCCAAAACTCAATATACTCAGGACTCATAAATAGAGACAACATAAAAACAAGAACTCAGAAATAAGGCCATGTAGTGCTCAAAAAATTCTAAAAACTACCTAAAGAGAGGTATTCTGAATCTTTAAAAAGGATGTAACACTGGAACATGTACGGCAAGCTAAAACAATTTGCTAAATATATTTAATAGTAATATGGCATATTATACATCAGTTTCAATTAAGAATCTGGAAGAATCTCATGAGGGTTTTTGCTCTTTTTAATGAGACAGCTATACTCAAGTCTTATCTTCATGTCCAAGTGATAAAGAATATGCAAAACACACAGTTCCCTGGGAGGTTGCAAATTCAACAGAAGTCAATATAGCTCAAAAAAATGTTCTGTTGGCCAGAAAAGTTGTTTAAAATTTGAATACATTTATGTGAGACATACATTCTTTGGCTTCTGCCCCAACATTTTTGTTTTCCTACATCCAGTCCAATTCACTCATGTTTGTTATTTGCTTAATCCCAAAAGTAACTGGATCTGAAGCTATGTATCAGAACATACCTGACAGAGTATACTAAGGGAAAAGTTGGTACAAAACTGTCAAGTGATCATTCTCCATGTGGTTATGCCCAAGCCATCTCTTAATGATAAATTAAAAGTCTCTTTACCTGTCATGACCTGAGTTCAGGCACTCTTGCGGAAGCTGGAGACAATACTAACCCCTGCACTGTGTAGGGAGGTGCACTCCTTGCATTGGGGCTTAAATGTTAGTGATTTCACCAACCCTTGAAGTGCAGAACAGTAAAAAAACAGTTTTCAGCCGTTTTTCTTACTGAGTTCTCATTTTTTAAATATTACAAAGATCTCAATTAGGTTTTAAAGTAAGTTATTTCTGTTGAAAAGGCAGGGCCTGAGTTTAAAGAGACACATGCCAATAGGTCTTTCTGGGTCACTGCACAAACCACAAGATGGCTTTTTTTTTTTCTATTAATTAAAAACTTACACAAAGATGCAAGAATTTCGTGCCTTCGAATGATTTTCTGATTTTACCTTAAAGTACCAAGATTTAGTGGCTACACATACGTAACTCGGTCTTGCAGAAGACAATCTTAAGTATTAATAGGTACTGTACTAGATGAGATTAGCTGAGTTAAAAATGGTACCTTTCCTATTAACTCAATTATTCCCCTGCCAAACCATACCGCCCTGGAAATTTCTAAAGAAACAACATGTTGTACTCTTCCATAAGGTAAAAATCAAGAAATGCTACTATGCTCAAGGATAGAATTACACTGTGTATGTGTCAGGAAGGCCAAATCTGTTTCTGACTGAAACCTTAAAATTCCAATTAATACAATTTCCCATTCTCCTATACTCTAAAATTAGATGAGCTTACATATGACTCTAGGTTTTTCCCATTGCTGCAGGAGAAATGAGTTGAAAAATATCCCTTAGCTAGTTTTGAAGAAAATATTTTATGTACCTAAAAAAGAGTAATGTTTTATCTGAATCTCTCTCCAAATCCCCTTCACTTCTTTAAGCTTTCATTTCTCTTCTGATCCTCTTAATCAGAACACAAACAATGCTATTCTGACTATTATGAGCTTGGCACCATTCAGTTATGCATACTCAAAGCATTTGAGTTCTCTGAATTCTTTCCTGCCATTTTAGTAGAAGATAAGAACAAACCTGAGCTGAAACCGTGCCACCTGGAGGATGCACATGTATTTTACTATCTCTTCCTATCTATACTCTGCCCCATTTTAAAACTCTGTATCAAATTTAAATGTTTTCTGCCTACAACAAAGCAAGCTTGTCTTGATATGCTTGGCGAAGGTGCTTATATTTTTCTTCACAGGTAAAGAAATTAAATAATCCCTCTTTCATTTACCAAACAATTTTTTTTAATGTTGGCACTCACTCAAAGTCCATTTGAAGGATCTATTCCTCTAACTTAAAATCACAGCAATTTGATCTCATTTATAAACAATCGAACAAAAGTACTTCTTGGCAATAATCTGCTCAACTGCTACCTTTTTTTTTTGTCTTTCTATGGACAAGATAATATAAGAAAAATTCATGAAATAAAATAAATATTGTCTGGCCTTAAAATGCTACTTTATGCTTCTTTCCAGTGTAAAGGAGAGGGGAAAGAGCAATACAAAATGTAAACTAAAAGGTCAAATTTCTAACTTATTTGATATCAAATGAAAAAATTTTCTTTTCTTTCCTTTTTTTTTAAGTAAGCCCTACACACAATGTGGGGCTTGAACTCACGACCCTGACATCAAGAGTTGCATGCTTTACTAAGCCAGCCAGGTGCCCTGATATCAAATGAAAAAATTTTCTAGGAGGAAGTCTCAGAGTAGTGGAGACTAATCAAAAAATCATTTTGTCAAAAGTAAAAAGCACCTCAGTTCCAATATTAATACATTTGTGAGTTCATGCCAAACATGACAACTTTTTAAAATGTAACTTACGTGGGAATAAGATTTCAGGTCAAAACTGACTACTCAATTTAATCCCTGTTGTAATTACAAGGTCTAAAACAGTTCCCATTTTAAAGATGCTAACTGAGTTCCCACACATTCTTTTTTTTTTTTTTTTAAGATTTTATTTATTTATTTGACAGAGAGAGACACAGGGAGAGAGGGAACACAAGCAGGGGGAGTGAGAGAGGGAGAAGCAGGCTTCCCGTGGAGCAGGGAGCCCGATGCGGGCCTTGATCCCAGGACCCTGGGATTATGACCTGAGCTGAAGGCAGACACTTAATGACTGAGTCACCCAGGCGCCCTGAGTTCCCACACATTCTATATAATGTTTCTTTTTAACATATTCTTACTCTGTAACTAACTTGGTCATCTAGATTCTAACCTCCACATTCCATCTCATAAGGCAAATATTTTTCTCTCAATGACAAGTAAGATTCATTATCCCAATTTTAATTTATTGTCCAAAAGGGAAAAAAAAAAACTTTTAAGGAAACCACATATTAAGTAAGCCACCTTGATGAACCAATCTTTCGTGTTCAAAGCACTTATTTTAAAAATAACTCTTCAGCTTGGAGTGCCTGGGTGGCGCAGTCGATTGGGCGACTGGCTTTTGATTTCAGCTCGGGTTGTGATTTTGGGGTGGTGGGATCAAGCCCTACATCAGGCTCTGCGGTCAGCACAGAGTCTACTTGGGATTCTCTCTGCCCCTCCCACTCACGCTCTCTCTCTCTCAAATAAATCAATCAATCTTAAAAAAAAAAACCTCTTCAGTTTTATATGCATGGTATTATATTCATTTTATATTTATGAAAATATAATCTGCCTAAGGTTACAAAATATGTTAATGTTTGAAGTAGAATTAGAATGTGGCATTTCCTTTATCTCATAGTACAGATTATTAAAATATTTCCCATGAAGGGCGCCTGGGTGGCTCAGTCATTAAGCATCTGCCTTCGGCTCAGGTCATGATCCCAGAGTCCTGAGATCGAGCCCTACATTGGGCTCTCTGCTCCGCAGGAAGCCTGCTTCTCCCTCCCCCACTCCCCCTGCTTGTGTTTCCTCTCTCGCTGTGTCTCTCTCTGTCAAATAAATAAATAAAATCTTAAAAAAATTAAAATATTTTCCATGAACATCTAAAAATGTTTCCTATTTCTAAAGTAACAAACACTGATATCTTAATCTGAAAATGTATATATCACCACACACACATCATACACACAGGGAGACAGCAAAATCAGCTCTTACCTTCATCTCCCTCTGGTGCATATGAAGCTGTAATAATGTCAATATCAGCACAATTCATCACAATCTGATTGGTTGCCTGCCTCACCTAGGGGGAAAAGAAAAACCAGCAGTGTCAGAAATAGCCAAGATTAATAACATGTACATCTTCATCTTGGCCTAATGTGTGTCACCAGGAATTTTTTTAAACCCAGACATCACTAAAACCTAGACTGAGTATTTATACATCAGTGGTAAAAATAAATTAGTTTTAAGTAGTCTAAGGCAATTCACATTTTTCAAATTATGTTAAGAGCAACAATAAACACTTAAGTATTTTACAGAATTTAAATATCTGACCAATAAGCTAAATAAAAGCATTTTTTCCCACTTAAACTTTTATTTAAAACAATTAAAACTTTTCAAATTAAAAATTAATTAGGAGACACTTCTCGTATGTTACAATTAATTACGTATTTCAGCCCCATCATAAGATATGCTTTATCATCAAACCTATCATAAGACCTTCTTTAAGGATAGAGGAAGGAAAGTGATATCATAAACCATGTCAAAACTTCGTAAGACACTCTTTAAATTTTTTCTCTTACCAAAGTAACGTTTTGGATATAAAAGACACTAATGACTCACCACCAAGATTAAATAAACTTTTTAAGATTTTGTCTTACTTGCTCAGATCCCCCCAAAATAAAATACAGATATAATGAAAGAAAGCCCATCCTCTCTTTCTCATTACATGGGGATAACCACTCTCCTAAGGCTAATGCAGCTCTTTCTCACATATGTATAGTTCTGGTACCTACATAAAGATCAGCAAACAATGTTTTTAATTTTATACAAATAGTATCAAAGTGTATATAACCTTTGCATCTGCTTTTTTCATTTAACATTGTTTCTGAGATGGGTAAATGCAGACAGATGTAGATCTAACTCATTAATTTTAACTCCTACAGAATAGTATTCCATTCTATAAATAAACTAGTTATTTATCCATTTCCTTTCTAAAGGAAGTTAGATTATTTCCACTATTTTGTTATTTAAAATAGTACTATAATAAATATCTTGGTCCATGTCTTCCTATGCACATTTTTCTTTACCAAGAATGTCCCAATTATGCTCTAGAGTAGTTTCAATTAACACTCCCATGAGCAAAGAATAAAGAAATCCCATATTCATCATCCTCCAAAAAACTTAAAATTTTTTGACCATCTTATGGGTATTAAATGGTATTCTACCATTGCTTTAAATAGAATTTTCCTGATTACTAGTAACACTGATTAAGCATCTTCTCTTTTTACCTTCTTTTTTTTTGCCATTGCTTTTTCTTTGTAAATTGTTCATTCATAACCCCTGCCCACTTTTCAATTTGGTTGTAGACTTGGTTTTATATACTTGTTGCATTTAAACAGAACCTCAAATTCATTTTCAGACCATTCATTTGAATGGTCTAAATTTAAAATAACAAAAATACTAGGGCTCCTGGGTGGCTCAGTCAGTTAGTGGTTTCAGCTCAGGTCATGATCTTATGGTTGTGAAATGGAGCCCTGCTCCCTGCTCAAGGTGGAATGGGCTTCAGATATTTCTCTCTCTCCCTCCACTCTCCCTCCCTCTCGGCCCCTCCCTGTTGACACGCAAGAGCTCTCTCTTTCCCTCTCTCTCTCTCAAATAAATAAATAAATAAAATCTAAAAATGAAATAAAGTTATTTTAAAAACTTTAA